AATTATAAAGTAATATTTGTTCGAAATCTTTTTTAATTATTAACAATATATATATCTATAGACAAAATTCCTTGAATCAATAACTTTTGAAGAAAATATTTTTTTAACCATTAAGTCCACTTGATGGACTAAACTGACAGCTCTTAAAATATATAGATACTACTAGAAACCATGACAATCATATTTGATATTGATTTTTGCAGATCGTATCTAACACCTTAACTCAAAAATATTTATACTATTAGAAATCTGAGATGGGAAGATGACAATTGTATATTTTGAAAATTTTAAATTTTTATGTATTTTTTATTAATTATTTAATTTTATTTATGCAATTAAATTTTTAATATTATTTCTTAAGTTTGAATTTATACATAAAATCATGCGTCGGTTCATATTAAAAACTATTTAATGAATTAAAAAATAACATTTCATTGAACCTATTAACTGACTTCAGTGGTGAAAGGAGATGTCGTTCTTCCTAAAATTCATAGATTTAAGTAGTGTATATAACAGGATGTATGTGTTGTTAATGATCGAAATTTTTTTAGACAGATATTATCTTATAATCACCACATATTATTTAAAAATAAAAAATAACATTTCATTAATTTGTTAATCCCTACATTTAATTTTAAGTTTCATCCCACTCTGTACTCCACCATCGAATAATTAAATATATTTCATTGTAAAAGTATATGCACATTTTATATATATTCTCTAAAACCATTCAACCTCTACTCACTCCTCCAAACTTGGTACATAAGCTAGAACATACATCATGGCCATCTTTAAGAATATTAGTATTTTAGATTTAGCTTAGATATTGCAAGTATTTCACCATTAGAAACGTGTTCGTACATCAAATTCTGCATGTCACGTTTCATTTATTTATTATCTAATGATTTACAAATAATATAAAAATAACATAATTTAGGACAAACTACATCAGATACCATCAAACTTTAAGCGTTGTATCATTTATACTATTGAACTTTTAATTTTATCAATTATAGCATTGAACTTTGATTTTCGTTTCAATTATACCACTGAATCGTTAACAACGCGATAGCGTGACTGACAAATGCCAACATAGACACCTCACCAAAATGATGTCGCTTTGATCCGGCCGTTAACAATTTAATGGCTCAGTTGTATAATTGAAACGAAAATCAAAGTTCAGTGTTGTAATTGACAAAATTAAAAGTTCAATGGTATAAATGATACAACGCCTAAAATTAGGTGGTATCTAGTGTAGTTTACCCTAAAATTTATATAAGGGGATCCTCCTTTAAATTCGTAGAATTTGAACCCATCTTACCCATATTAGAAGAAACTTTGATCGCGAAATTGACCTATCCATCGCCTCTTCTCTCTCCTTTATAACATTGAAAAGAAGCTCTTCTGTTTCTCCGTTAAAGGGAATTGAAAATAAGAAGACATAAAGGAAGACATGGGTTCTATAATGGGGCATGCATTACATGGTTTAGCCTTCTTTATACTTGGTTTTTGGCATCTCTTTAATCACATCAAGCTCCATTCTCTCCACCCCAATTCATACACATCTTCCTCTTGGTTCCCCACACCAAAATTAAGGTACCTAGAGCTCTTCATAATCATGGCAGCCTCTTCCATCAGCATAGCCATGGAGCTCATCATCGGCTCCGCAATGCACGGCTACCGACCTATTGGTCCCGATGGAACCATCCCATCGAACCGTCTCCGCAACTTCGAGCACTCTTTCATATCAATGACTTTCTTTGCCTACGCAGCTTCTGCTGTTCTCCTTGATAGAATTTGCCCCAACGCTACGTATTGCCTGTCACAATTCGTTGCGGCCGTAGCCTTTGTGGAAGAATTCATCCTCTTCCACTTCCACTCGGCGGATCACATGGGGGTGGAGGGTCAGTATCACTTGCTTCTACAGTGTGTCATCGGCGTTTCTTTAATCACCACCCTCATGGGAATTGAGCTTACTAAGAGCTTCATGGTCAGCTTTACAAGGTCATTCAGTATTCTGTATCAAGGTGTGTGGCTCATAGTGATGGGATACATGATTTGGACCCCAACCCTGGTTTCCAAAGGGTGCTTGCTCCACTTTGAAGATGGTCACCAGATTATTAGCTGCTTGAGCCACCAGGCACTGCACCGCGCTAAATCGTTAGCGAATATTGTATTCAGCTGGACCTTGATAGCGGCACCATCTTCACAATGGCTCTGTTTTTGGTTTTGGCCAAATTATATGGAGAAAAAGTCGAGTGTTCAACGCTGAAAAAGGAACAAGGCCTTCTACTGGAACTGGAACAAGAATCTGATGATTTTGATATTGGCCTTTAAACATTCACGGGTTTTAGCGTCTGTAATTTTGTAAAAATAAGTGTCCAAATTATAACTAAAATTAATTTTAGGCGCCTAAGAAATTTTTTGTTAAAAATAGGTCCATAACATTTTCAACGTTACACTTTTAGGTAATTGAACCGTTAACACCATTAAATTTAAAAAAATGAATTATATATATACATGACACTTGTCATCTAACAGTCGAATTTAACGACGTGCACCTAAAAGTGTAACGTCGGAAACGTTAGACACCTATTTCTAACGAAAAATTCTTTAAGCACCTAAAGTTAACATTGGGTATAGTTTGGACATTTATTTTTACATTAAGCCTTTCCATTTTGATCTTTTGTATAAACGTTTTATTTAGGGGGTGTTAATTAGTCCTTCCCGAACTGTTTGAACTCGATTTAATAAAAAAAATGATTAATGTTGGACTTGGATTGACTCAACTTGAAATCTTAACAAGTTGACTCGAGTAAGCTCAGCTCGAGTTGATAAGTTCACGAGTTGCTTGTTAATATTTTTTAATAATTTTAGGAAGTTATTTGTCTTATTTTTAGGATTGATTATGTATTGTTAAATTTCTTATTTTATGAATGATTGTGATATGTTTGTTAAGTTTTATTTGTGGATTGCTACTTTGGTTGTAATATGTTAGGTTGGTGTATTTGTGAATTGTTAATTTAGAGTTTAAACTTTTAAATTGTTTCACACATGTTTTTTTATTAAATTTATTAAATTATGTTTATATTTTTTTTTTGGATAAGTAGAATTCCATTCATCCAAAAGAATGCAGCCAAGCTGCTACAAACATAAATCAAGGCATTATATCAGTCTCCAATCTATACACAATTGCCTATTTACAGTATCTAGACTATTCATAGAGCTCCAATACAATTTAATTCTCACTGATTCTTTAACGCTACCAACAACTGTGCCAACCGAGCAATGCACCCCTCTAAAATGTCTACGATTCCGTTCCTTCCAAATACAATAGATAAAGCCAGTCCAAGCCAACTTGAGGATATGCACCAGCAATGATTTACCTTTCAGGTTCAGCAATAACCAGTGCAGAAGATCGTTCCAACCAGTAGGTACCTGGTTAAGTCCACATAGCAGCAAGATAGCACACCAAGCTTCACTTGCATAAGAGCATTCAGAGAAGAGATGACTTCGAGACTCAAGGCTAGAGCTACACAGTCTACAAACACTGTCTGTAACAATACCAAACCTGGCTAACCTGACCTTAGTAGTCAATCTATCCAAGATTGCCATCCAAGAGATCAGTGAAAATTTTGGAATGTGGCCAGGAAACCATACAAGGCGATGCCAGGGAACCTTCTCACTCCTGCTTCGAACCTTATCCCATAACTAGCTGGCTCTAGTTTGATCCCAGTTACTACTGGAACAAAATAGTCTCATAGCCTCACTCCTCATTTTGAACAGCTTTATTATGATCCAGCTAAAATGAGACTTACAATCGGCATTCCAGAAATCGTCAATCCTGAAACAGTAAGCATTTAACCAAGCGATCCAAAGAGAACCTTCACCTGCCAAGATTTTCTTGATAAGTAGAAGACAACAAGCTTTACTCCAATCAACCAGACTCCTTAACCCCAAGCCTCCCTCAGATTTCAGACAACATATCTGGTTCCAGCTAACTCGGGCTCCTTTAGCTGGGGAATCACAGCCTTTCCAAAAGAACCTCATGCAAAGTCTCTCAACATCACTAATGACCCCTTTAGGCAGGATGAGTTGCCTACTCCAGTAGTTGAAGATGTTGAACAAGACAGATTTGATGAGTTGTAGCCTGCCCCCAAAACTCAACTTTCTATTAGACCACTTACAAAGCTTCTCTTTAATCTTAGTCGCCAAAGCAGAGCAATCCTTGCTAGCGAGCAAGATTTTATATTAAGGCAAAAAATTTACGAGCTTAACGAGAAACAAGTCCTTTTAACGAATATTAATCGAACAAAATTTTATTAAACTCTTCAATTTGTCATCAATTCTTCATCAAGATTTTAATAACAAGGTCCTTGACAATTGTATAGTTGTTGCCTTTAAAGATGATCATAATTTCATGAAGGCCATCTCTTCGCCGAGGGAAATCATCGTTCGAGATAGCAAGCAGCTCCATGAAATCGTCAATGGCAAGTGTTCTTGTGGGGATTATGGAGGTTTAACTTTGATGAGTAAGGTAGGTTCCACTTATCTACGCTTGAATTATTAACATTCCATGCAAATTCTTGTCTCTTATGAACCGAGTTTGCTACCGAAAACATTGACTCGGCAAATCAAACATGGTATTTTTGAAAACAAACCAAAATACAACAAAAATAAGGCATTAAACATAAAAAGAAAAAAATCATATAAAATTGACATGAATATAATACAAATATAACATTTATGTACGTGTCATTACAATTTTTTTATATAAATATATAACGTCTTAAACACAATTCAAACCCGCATATACAGGTTTCCAGGTACCATCAACTGTAAAATGTCAATAAACATTTAACTTGTTCACATGTAAGTATGGTAATTCGTGGACTCGTATGATTACAACAGATAGCATTTACTTAGCAAAACAAGCTATGGAACAAAAGCAACAGAGCATTACAAACACTATCCATGGAAAAAAGTAGAAATAAAAACTATAATTTCCTATTTCTCCAGCAGAGGAATTTGGAAGCTGTAAGCAATACAATATACCTCAAGGTCGGAATCCGAAGCATATGTCAAAAAAACTGGCAATGTTATGGAACAATAGATCAACGCCTTTTACTCTTGGATTTGTTTGACTCATTTGGTGGTTTCCATATGATATCCTCGAGGTTGCTATAAAATGCCTGGTAAAACTGTGACAGGATGCATTGTTTATGTCGGAATAAAGAAAACTAAAGAAAACAAACTTGACATGTGAGCAAGGTAACAAACTAACCTGTAGGTATTCTCCAGCATCACCAGCTGCTTTTTGAATATCTACCATAACAAATGTGGGAGCGACATCAAAAACCTTGAAACGGAACAATCAGAAGGGGAAAGGAAAAAGAAATTAGTAGTAGATTAAATTTAAAGGCTGATGTCGAATTCAGCAGGAGTAGTACAAAACTTACTTCGAGGATAACTGACAAATGAAAACTCTTATTAGCTGAAAGACCTTCAACCCTCATCTGAAGAATAACACATAATCAGAGTTTATAAGACTATGGAAATACTCTAGGGAACAATGTTCTCCACTCAAACCGATGAAATAATTGGTAAACAGAGAGAATGAAATCGTTGTGAAGGAATATGGGGAACATGTTTTGTACTAGATCAGGAAACTTGCTAAATATTAATTGAAATAAAGAACAAAATTGGACAAAAAAAGTTGATAACCTGAGTTGTGTACCTTGTAATTGCGAATGTGTGTCTTATAGCCCATCGACTGTGCAACAACTTCCATGGTAGACAGCACAACCCTTGCTGGCTTTTGTGAAACAAATCGTGTCTGATACTTCATGTCGTCCTGATAGGGAATATCATAGATTCTCATTTAACTTAATATTGGGGGGAAAAAGACATACATTTGACTGCCTAACAGAAACAGATAATTTACATTCTAGATCATTGAACTTAACTTCAACTTTCATTTAAATCACAAACCTTTTATATAATCAAATTAGATCATTCGACTGTTATCATTAATGAAATAAGTCACTTATATTAAACCATTAAAAATTCTAACGGAAAAAAAAATAAATTGACTTAGTTTAACAGTTAGAATTATTTAACGGCTTAATATAAGTAACTTACTTTAAAGTTGAATGATCTAATTTGATTAAATTAAAGGTTTGTGACCTAAATGAAAGTTGGAGTTAAGTGATCTAGAATGTAAATTACTGGATGGAAACATATCCTGAAGGCAAGAACTAAGAAATTGACATATATGATTTCCGGAGATGACTGCCAAGTGAAACTAATGCTCATAAATAGATAGCATTAGACATCAAAAGGAAAATAAAAGCCTAGCAGTTTTTCTGAACATGCTGTTGGATTGAAAAACTTTAAGAGCACATAATTGATGCCTTCAAAAATGGTGAAGAGGTAGATATAAACAAGTTATTAAAGAAATCTACCTTCCCACGGTCAAAAAGCGTTGCAAGGTTCAAGCCTTGAGAAAGAATAATCAAGTCAAACGCATTAAGACTCAAAGGACCAATATCATCATTTCCTGAAGGCTCATCACCACTTCCTTCCTATAGCATTATATTATTAAGAATTGAGAGTTAGAAATTAAACACAACGATGCACTCAAACAAACAAGTAACCAAATTATAATTTTATAGCATCTATATTCTAACTGCTAAATACCTTATCAACCTCTGGATCATCAAAAACAGCATTTACATAATCCAAGTTAATATCTTCATACTCAAGAAGTCTGACAGGAACATAACCCTTCTTAAACCATTCATCGCTCCTGATTTGCTCAATTGTCATACGCTGTACAGAAAGGGAGAAGAGATTTCTTACAATCAAGCAGAAGTGAAAGATACATTGAAACCAAATTAAATCTACTAAAACACTTAAAGAATAAATAGAAAAATGGAATACCATATAATAATAGGAAGTGGTGCACTTAAGTTTCAAATATGAGACCAGAATCCTTCAGTCTATCATCGACGAACTGAACAAACAATAAAAAATTCAAGGTATACAGAAACAGCAATCCGGTATGATAATATTGACGGAGGAAGTTATTCAAGAGGCAATTACACTAATTGATCATTGTCATGTTGAATGAAGAGATTTGTGTGTTGCGAAAAGAAACCAAAGAAATGAGAACATGGAGACAACCCAGGTGTTTGATGAAACATCAACAAAAAAGGCGATCGAGGCTGTCACTATTGAGAAGCCATATGAAGAAGTAGAAGGAGCACACGATGCTACTCAAGTGTTTGATGACATGTCCAACAAAGATCCGGATGACATTTTGAAATTTGGAGCCTCAACGGGAAAAAAAAATCTTATGGCAAAGGTAGCACAAAGGATTGCGATATACTACCTTATGTTAGTGGACCCTTGTCTCAAGTAGTTGGGGTTGCGTATAGCGGAATCATAGTCCAACCTTTGTTGTCAAAGATTGTTGGTGTTGGCATAAGATTTGAAGGGGTTATCTCAAAGGTGTTCATGAATGAAATTAAGATGGCGAGAGTCCAAGACCCCTATGGTTTTGACTATTAGTAATGGATCAAATTTGAGGACAAGCTTTTTATTTTTTCGGGAGTGGAGTAATGTTACATTCCTTAATAGGAAGGATGTTTTATTCTTAGAGAACAGATGTTTTAGGAAAAAGAAAATATTATTTATTATTATTAGGAGTAAATTTTGGAGGTTTGATTTTTTAAACATGGTATGTAACCTATCAATAAAATACAAGAATTTTAAAATAAACCCCTAAAAGATTTTGGTTTCTCTTTTAAGTTTTAATGAGGTTTCTCTCCATTTGATGAGTTGAAAGGTTCCAGTGTTCCTTCTACGAGCTGAACTATCGATAAAAATCCAAGACCATAACAAGGTAGTTTTCTTGTGGTTCATTAGCTTGCATTTTCTATCTCAACTTCCACGAGATTAGGTTGATCGTTTCTGTTTAAGGGTGCATTCTAGGATACCTAGATATCATTTCATACGTATCTTGGACCCACACCAATAGTTTCTATATCATTATACCTCATTGTAATAATAGCCATGCAGACAAAAGAGTTCAAAGTTGTTAGAGAACAAAGTACTTACAGTTTGAGGGTTTGGGTCTAGAATTCTATGGATCAACGATTTTGCTCCCACAGGAAACCAAGAAGGGCAAGAAAACTCTGCTCTCTCAATCTGAAGATTGGAAAAAAATGCTTAAAACGAAAAAGGAAGGTTATGTGGTACTGATTGAATACTTGAAAGGAAATTTTTATTCCTTTCAACCATTTTCATGCAGAATTAAAGATAAACACAATAACTATAAACTAGTACACAAAGTTCGTACCTTACTGTAGAGAGTGGTGAGATCAAGCTCATCAAATGGAAGATAACCTGCCATCAAAACGTAAAGGATGACCCCACAAGACCAAACATCTGCCACAGCACCATCATACCCCCTGTGGCTTAGAACCTATAACAGAGATGATTTATTGATTTAAGATGTATGCAACAGCACAGAATAAACCATTAAGGAATATTCGACACAAAAGCTAACTACTCTTATGACTACTACCTCTGGAGCCACATAGTTAGGAGTCCCGCATGTTGTCCGGAGGAGGCTAACTCCCTAAGCATAAAGATCACCAAATAAAAATCCATATCCCATACTTCTGTTAAAATATTTTGATTGTCAAGGGAGGAAGGCAAAAAAGTTCATCCCTCAATTTCTTACTTGTTCTGGTATCGCGCTAAGGCCAAAATCTGAAATCTTTAAGTTTCCTAGGGAATCAAGCAAAAGATTCTCAGGCTGCATATAGAAGCAAACAATTGTCAGAATATATGAAATCAAATAAATAGAACAATTATATTCTATATTCTAACAAATAGAACACCTTCAAATCTCTGTGGTAGACTCCTTTATTATGGCAATATTCCACACCATCAATAAGCTGTTGGAAGTATCTTCTAGCTTCTGCTTCACTAAGACGGCCATTATAAACCTGCATGATTACCATCAATCTTTAGTACCGGCAGAAATGAAAAACCCAATAGTACAAAAAAAGTCGGATTTTCCTCTGATACTTACTATTTTATCAAATAATTCACCGCCAGTAATGAACTCCAAGATTATATATATCTTAGTCCGACTTGCTATGACCTAACAAATCAAAAAGTTTCATATGTAGAAACACGCCAAGCATGCCAATTATGGAATTTCAGATTTTAATAGTACTGGTAAATTACTTGCCTCGTGCAACCGAACAACGTACGGATGCCTAACAAGCTTCATTATAGATATCTCCCTTTTGATCTGCATTAATTAATAGTCATATAAGAATTCAAACTTTCAGATCATGCTGAAGCTTGAATACTAGAATTGATAACTGTGACTGCAATTTAAGCAATGAAAATTGACCAAATTCACCTAAAAATTCAGTAAAAATACATTAAAATGATTTAAAAATCTATTATTAATAATCAATTAAAGAAATTTCTCACAAATTTACCGAAATTTCAGGTCAGTAAAATAAAAAAAGGTGGAAATTCGACCTGATCGACCATTTTGTGCTTGATAATGGTGCTACGATCCAGGACTTTCATGGCAACACTTTCGCCGGTCTCCGTATTTTGCGCAAACTTAACCTTGGCGAAGGTTCCTTCTCCGATTGTTCTTCCAATCTCATACTTGCCAACTTTTCTCACCACCATCGCTGATTTTCTTCCAAGTTTCTCAGTCTTAGCATTCCGCTTTCTGTCTCGCCAAACAAAGAGAAAAAAGATAAAGCAAACGGATTTTGGGTTATAAAATTGGGGCGATTTTCTTAATATATTATCCTTGTAACGTGTTTTATATTATTTGGCGTCATGTGGGGTAAGGCGCGCTGCAAGGGCTCACCTTATGCTGACATGGTATACACGTGTGTAAAGCGCGACCTTAGGGGCACGCCTTAGGCCACTTAGGAGTATAGCACAGGGCAGGGGCATCTGATATAATTATGTAAGGCGCGGTGCAGGTACCGCGTCTTGTAGCTTTTCCCGACTATAAATAACCTTTCCCGGGGTAACTCCTCACATCTCCTCTCGATTAGAAAAAAAATTAATACAACAATCCAACAATCTTCTAATATTTAATTCAGAACTTCGTGCGAGTTTTCGTTATAAGGTAATTTTGTGATAAATTTTTTTATTATACTTATTGTTTATTATGATTATTTGAAAAAATATTATACTAATTATTGTCAATTAATTTATGTGTTTGTAAAATTAGAAAGCGGAAATATACGTCGAAATAGTTTTGCGGTACATGTAATAATATAAAATTATATTATTTAAATTATTTACGTTTATGTGTAAAAAAATTATTATGTTATATTTTCGTTCATATATTATTTATTTAATCACATTGTTTCAGTTGTTTTTTTTGAAGATATAATATTGTCGCACTTTTAAACTCAAATAATGGCGCGACTTCCAGCTATTGTTTATTATGATGGATAAATTCGAGAAGATGAAATCGGTGTTGTTTTCGTATCAAATGAGCGTGTTAAAATATCATTGAAGATAAACATAACTCTTGAGGAGCTGATAACGAAGATTTCGATGAAGATTCATGTTGGAAGTAGTAGAAGAATGTCGTCGTTACAATACAGATTTCCAACATCATTGTTGTCATTAACTTATACAGCGTTCGAGCTATCGAACAATAATGATGTTGAAATGATGGTTGATTCTCAAAGTAATTATTCAGTCTCCAATATTAAGATGTATGCAAAGTTTGTTTAAGTGTGTGTTGTTCGGGGTCAGTCATTAAGCTCCCACTATGGGCTGGCTGAACAAGTTGATCAAGTTGACAGCCCGACTATAGTAATGTGTAATGATTTTAATGCCATAATGGGAAGACATTCATCCGCAACTCCTTACGATATGTACCGAGGTGGGTCGATGAACAATCCGTATGGCAACATCGCGTCCAATTCAAGGAGAAGACATTCATCTGCAAATCCCTTTGATCTTAATATGGAGATGTCATCGACGTAACAATCTGTGCAGTTTCCATTTGACATGATGGTTTCAAGCTCTAGGGGGAGGCATTCGACTGCGAGCTTTTTCGATCTGAATGTCGATATGCCTTCCAGTTCAAGGGGAAGGCGTGCAAGTAGTAGGTTCTTCGACCTAAATGGGAGAGCATGGAGGAACCATCATCTCCACCAGAAAAATCGCTTCGTAAGCCTGGTGCAGATGGTGCTGAGAATGAACTATTCATTCACCCAGAATCACCGCAATTCAACTCCGATGACGATAATGATGTGAATGAAGTTCCAGCAAATGTGGCACAAACTGACCCTCCAGCACACATGTATGAAGCTGATTATGGTGCAATGTATGGGTCATAATTTACGGATATGCCTCATCTCGGTGACTATGGATATTACTTATCAATAAATAATGGTGAGTTATATTTAGGCATGGAGTTTTCAAGCAAAGAAGAAGCGATGATGGCTATAAAAAATTACAATATATGTAATTTTGTTCAATCGAGGGTCGATCGCTCCACGATAGAAAAATATGTATGTTACTGTGCCCGACGCCAAAACGGATGCAATTGGATGGTTCGCGTATCGAAGAGGAAGAGGAAAAACAACATATGGTAACTAACAGTATACAACGGTCCTCACACATGTTGTGCTGGAGGGGTCAACCAAGATCATCCCAACTTGGACTCTAAAGTGATATGCCAAGCCATCATGCCCATGGTAAAAGCAAGCTCTCATATAGTTGTTTTTGTGTTGATTTCAACTATACAATCGCAATATGGGTACATTGTCTCCTATAAAAAAGCTTGGTTGGCAAAACAAAATGATATTGTCAAACTTCATGGCGAACATGATGCATCTTACAACGAACTTCCAGGCTGGTTTAGGCTGGTGCGGAGGTTGAATCCTGGGATAATTGTGGACTTCGAAACCTCCTATACATATCATAATGATCGAGTTCTCCACGATCGATGCCAATTCTACCGGGTTTTATGGACTTACCCACATTGAGTTAACGCTGTCAAATACTGCAAGCATGTGGTCCATATCGACGAGACTTTCTTGTATGGAAAATACAAGTAAGTTTTATTATTGGCAGTTGTTCAAGATGACAATTGCAACATTCTTCCAATTGCTTTTGCTCTTGTCGAAGGAGAATATAAAGATTCTTGGGCTTTTTTCCTCAGAAATTTACATGCACATGTTATCACGAGGGAAAATATCTGTGTCATTTCAGATCGCGGAGCTGGGATCAAAGCAACAATGGATTCTTTGGGTCCAATGTGGCAACCACCATTTGTCCAACATAGGTATTGTCTCCGACACATTGTTGCGAACTACCATGGAAGATACAAGAAAAATGACGAGCGTCAATTACTTGTGCGCATGGGTAAGTGAAACTGATGTAGTTTGTTTTCTTTCGATCCTTTTGATCATGTTAGTAAGTTATATATTTTTTGATCAGGTTACGAACTACTTCCTCGAATCTTTGAATCAATGCTTCAAGATTTGCGGGCGAAGAACAAGGAAGGATACGATTACATCAGCCTCATCGATAAAGAAATATGAACGAACGCATATGATGGTGGATATCGATATGGACACATGACGACCAACTTGGCAGAGGCAATCAATTTAACCTTAAAGGGTGCATGTCACTTACCTGTAGCGGCTTTGGTAAATACTATATATTTTTATTTGGAGGCTTTTTTTGCGAAGCTCGGGGGACAAGCTCAAACCTGGATGCAAGGCGGTCATGTGTATCACCCTATATTAGTTATAGATCTACATAAAAAAATTGTTGCATCAAATGGGATGTCTGTAACAAGTTTCTCTAGAAGGCATGAAATGTTTCGTGCCACAAAGTTACCGCGACCTCTTCAAGGGATTGAAGTTGTGTCGTTAAGAGTAAATCTACGGGATATAACGTGCGACTGCAGGTTTTTTCAAGCTCTGAAATATCCATGCTCTCATGTGATAGCAGCTTGCTCGCATACACGTCAAGACTATAACTATTTTATGGATCATGTATACCTACTATCTGAAGTTTTTAAGGTATACGAATTTGAGTTCCCCTCATAGATAATGACAAAGACCCTGATGAGGTTCAAGATTGGCTTCCGATTGTACCAAATCCGAGTTTATTGAGGGAGCGTGGTCATCAAAAATCCAATCGAATTTATTGCGATATGGATATTCGAGAAAGATCTAGACAAGACAGAAGATGCGGGCATTGTAGAAACCCATGACACACTAGAAAAACATGTCCACTTCTGTTGTCATTAAGTAACAATTGATGAGGAAATAATGTAGTTGTTTATCAATTAATAATTATTGTATTTTAATTTGCATTTACTTAAAGTTAATGTTATTCGAAAACCGCTGATGAAGATTAAAAAACGATACAATTATACGAGATTGGACGTTGGCGTTATATTAACAAATAACTGATATTAATGATACAATAAGTATTAAATGATAAATGATAACCAAATTACAATAATTAATATTAAATAGTAATAAACAAAATTAAGCAAAATAAATTAACAAAAAGTCCAACAAATTTATCAAAATAAATACAACCATATTAACGAATGAAAGTAAGTATTAAATGATAAATAAAAAAAACACAATAAAAAATCCAATAAACAACTAAATAAAAAGTACTAAATACAAATATAATAAAAAAACAAAATCTATCGATGCCTGCGACGCGAATGTGTTCCGCAGGGCAGTGGTTGTCGGTCTCGAGGAGGATTTCTTCGTATCACTGGTTGTGACTCATCGTTGTCATCATCATCACCATCATCGTCGTCGTCGTCCTGAGCAGCTAAATTTTGTTGATGAGGAGCTGATGACGATGAAGCACCTCCATAGAATAAGGACCCTAGAGGTGTATGACTTACTATCCCACCTGCGAAAACTGGGAAAACTCATAAAACCCAGACATCGTTGAGTGTGAAAACTGTACAGGAGGTGTCTGTGCTGCGGCCATAAGTGATGAGGTCGAACCCAACAAATATCCAACATATGAACCCCAAGTCAGATCTACAAACATAGACCCATAATAGCCTCCAGGAGGGGTCATAAAACTTTGTGAAGGTGGCGGCGACGAGGTCATAAAACCAGGTGAAGGCGGCGACGACGACATCTGATAATGGAAAGGCGGTGACGACATCATATATGGCTACAGTATGTAAGCTGCTGCAGACGGTGGCTGTTGTGAAGGTCCTGCTGGTGCAACTGATGATGAACCGAAAACACCTGCTCTCCGTCTACGAGTCAGGGGACGATGGTGTTATGTTGGTGAACGTCTCTGTCGACGTTGTGGAAAGGTCCGCTCTCGTGCATCATCGGGAAGCATAAACGATTTCCCGTTTCTGTTGAACCACTCATAATAATCATCACCAACTGTCAAGTCATCAACATTAATGGGGTCTCTACGGGGAAGACGTCGATGTCGATCCTCCCACAACATGACCCACTCATAATGCCTCACCAACTAATCTGTATCGGTCTTGTCGCGTCTATCTGTGGCATGTATGTCGTCCATATTACGAGGTGCTTCCGAAATTGGTTGAAAACAACCAAATTGCCGGAGCACGCGATCAGTGGAGTGCCACTCGACGGTCGCATAACATATCAAAGGGATCATCGCCATCCAAACATCTGATGGGCCCCTCAACTCAGGTGGGATCACCGTCCTCACATCGTCATTAGAATATGTCACCCATTCAAACTAAAACAAATATATATAATTTTTATCAAAATAATAATATAATTATATAACTATAATCTAAAATCGATTTTTAAACATTTAAATTCATACATGTGTGACAGCCTTCTAATCGATGAGCACCCTAATTTTTTCTAAATCATCAGGTAGCTCCTGATGATTTTTCCTATCAGTAGACCACCTATTCAAAAATTTTTTTATTATACGCCATATAAAATGATTAATATACGAAATCAGTTTTATAATTACCTCAAGAGTAGTGGAAATACGAATAGGTTCTTCACAATGGGACATAAAAAGAGCAATCGATACCATGCCCAAGATTGCAGCAGGAGGAGACATCCGCCGATAGCATTTCTCCTGTAGTCAGTGGCTCGACACATATCCCTGTACAATAAAGCCAAAACTACCGAGCCCCAACTGAGTGATCCGGCCAGACGAAAGTCGACAAGATGCCGCAACCACATGCAGTGAACTTGGTTGCACGATTTGTCCGGCATCAACAACCCTCATATCAGCTGCAGTATGCATGCTCATGCATACATTTTAACTTCATCATCTGACGCGTCATCGCTAAACTCCCAATTTAACGGTATCCAACCACCGTTAAAACTTTTCGGGACACGTCCTAGATTATCCCGACACAAAGTAGTCCATGAACCCTGCGCGATCCCCGATATCACATCTCCATCCACCGGAAGCCCCAGGTGCATATCAACATCCTCAAGTGTAATCGTGCACTCTCCGCACGAAAGATGGAATGTGTGGGTCTCCGACCTCCATCGCTATACTAAGGCAAAAATAAGGTCTGGTTCTATCTTACAGTTACTCTGATATCTACCTATGTAACCGAATCAAACCTCTACTAAATACGGCAAGACACGACTATGTATCACTAACTTAAGATTCCTAAAAAATGGATCTAATACACGGTCTTTCTCCTAAAATTAAATAATTACAAAAATTAATTCTTAATATAATAATTATGCATTAAATAAATCAACAAATAATTACTTATAATTTAAATTAAATTAAAATGTTACCGTATCAGCAAAGTGTCGAGATATATGATTTCCATCCAAGCGAAGTAGTCCGTCTTCCATTTTATATCTGCAAAAAAATTAATTAAATAAAATATTAAATAAATTAAATATAAAATATTAAAAATATAATAAAATATACATTAGAAAGTGATTATAAGAGTATTTGAGAGATGGTGAGAGAAGTTGAGAGAATTTGGTGTGATGAAAATGATTGAGGATGAGGGTATTTATAGGGAGGAATTGAAGTGTGAAACGTTGGGGTAGGTGGGTAATTATACCGCGCCTTACTGAAGCGCCGTAGGGGGCGCGCCTTACTGACGCGTGGTAGATTATGGGGTAAGACGCAGCCCCTGCACCGCGCTATATCCCTGTACACACATGTATACCGTGTCAGCTTAAGATGCGCTGCATGGGGCGCTCCTTACCCCACGTGACGTCAAATCAGCGTAAAACACATTACAAAGGACGCGTCTTTCTGTAAAGGGTGTTAGATCAAAAAATATAATCTAAACGGTACCTGATCAAGAAATATACTGTTCAATGGTGATATATAAAAAAATCACCTATAAAATTGCCAATACTTGCTAATAAATTAATAATCATAGTACCTAAAAAAACTCAGACTATGGACCTTTTTCGAGAATGAGAAAGCAAGAAAAAGTTCACTGCCAATAAAGTATTATTAATTTTTATTTTTAGTTTTATAAATTTTGTGGTTCATTTTGTTTTGGTGGCTATCAGTTTAGCGTTGACTACTGTTTCTTCAGCCGCTCATTTGATACGAATGAGACGGTTCCCTACATTATGTTGATTGAAATGTGCTTTTATTTAACGTGATATGTCCGTCTAATTAGAAGAATAAATATCATTAATAATAAATATTATTTTATTCGTTAAAGTGAAGGTGCGACTGATGAAGAGGTTTATTAAAGGGTCTTTTTTTTTAAAAAAATAAAAATTGTGTTTCGAAGTTTAATTTTATTATTTAGGGTTTTTACTTTGGGTTTCTCAAAAGGATCCTCTTAAGATTTTAGGTTTAAAGTATGATTATTTGAAATTTTGTTCTTATGATAATTAAATGAATATCAATATAAATTATTTAAAATCTAATAAATTCATTGTATATAATGATATGTTGAGAATAATTTAATTTGAATAATTGTATGCAATGAAAATATCAAGCATTAATAAATTGTTTGAATATTATTGTATGAGGGTGTAAGAGACTGGCTCCGCACGAGCAATTACTAAGCTCCCTTCAAGGTTATGCAGAGGAATAAAAGCAAGTAACCGAGAGACAACAAAGGATGCTTCAAGATGTAGTTCGACAACTGATAACCATATCGGTGCAGTTGGGGTGATCGTCTAGGGGCCACCCTGAGAGTGATGAAATGAGTGGAGCTTGTATATGTTATAAAGATTTTCAACCATTTAAAATAAAAACTTAAATACATTTGTAGTCTCTGATGCTCAAATCTGAGACTTCTAGGGATAACAACCATCATTTTAATAATTGAGATAACATTTTTCATACTCATTCGTCTCATTTAACACTCAGGCCAGATGTTTTGTGCCAAATACTTTACAAGTCAAGCGTGTAGTGCAAGGAAAATTAATTTCATAACTCAAGTTTAGATCTAAAATGACTTTTTTGAAAGGCTTAGGGGGTCAAAAAATGCAATTAAACCTAAAAGTATATATATATATATATAGAAAGAGACATTAATCTAGGGCAATTACACGTGATAGTATATGTTCTATAAATATAATGCTAAAAGCAAAAGAAAATTGACCACTAGATTCAATTTCAAATCCGTAAATTGAAGAGGCCAAAAATATTCAAAATAAAATAAAGAGATTAATTTCACAACTCAAGTACATTACCTTGTTTGTTCATATGAATCTATGGTACACAAACGGGTTTAATTAGTTAAGATTTTCAAAATAGGCTTCGAAAGCTTAGAAGAAAAGCCCAATTTTTAGTTGGATCCATTGGACTGGGGAAAAAGGGTTTCAACTTTCAACGCTGAATCCGAATCCGAATCCGAATCATGAAGATCAAAATCAGAAACAATCTCGTTATAAATACACTCAGCTACGTTTTCAGGATTTGGTTTTATCGATCTTCTCGCATTTCTGGAAATCTTTTTCTTTCTAAGTTCGTGTAGGTCGGGAGCTCTACCGTTGAGTTTGGAGTCATGTCAGAAGAGTTCGACTTCGCCGATAAGGTATGGCTATTCACCGAGATCCATTCTGAATCAATTCGATTTTATCCACCTAATTCAGAGATCTGGTTTTCTGTCCCTGCCTTGAACCTCATATCTTGCCGATCTAGTGCTTTCTTTTCTTCAAGTTTCATTTCATTTTGTTGCTGTTTTGAGAATTTTGCATGTTGATCGTCTCGCGTTATTTAGTAATTTCATTTTTATTCTTTGCATGTTGATTATTTCGTTAATTGAACATTAAGGTAATATAATTCATTTTTCCATTGCATGTAAATAACCAAATAATTCTCCCTTTTTTCCTGTTTCTTTTTGTCATGTGGTAGTGCTGAAATCTTTGTTATACATATACAAAATTTTCCTCTGGACCGGATGCTTTCTTTATGCAGATTAGTAATGCTTGTTGATAATTAATGTTTCTTTGATCCATTTTTCGATGCAACAATGGTAATGATAGCAACTAGTAATGTTTGTTTAGGTTTTGTTTTGAAGCATTCAATTTACTAATTTCTTAAAATAAAACATTTGCAATTATCAGTTGTCCTTCCACGATGAAATGAACTTTCACTGTCTTACAAACTGAAGGCAAGTATTGAGCAGCTAGTTGTTGTGTTTTTTCTTGGGCATTAGATGATGAGTACCTTCATGGTAGTCAGGAACGGATGCATGATTTTTTGTTGGGGGCGAAACATATTATCAATAAAAAATATAAAGAAAATACCTAAATTATATGAGAATATGTAACTTTTAGCGGCGATCGCCTCGCCAGCCCCTTTTGGTCCATCCATGAGTATAGTAATGTCGTTTCCCTTGATGCAATAGGGGAACAAGATCATTTATGAAACTGAAGCCAAAGGGTTGAACCCTGGATTGATAGTGCTGCTGGTTGTTGTGGGGCTGCTGCTGATATTCCTTGTAGGGAACTATGTACTTTACACATATGCTCAGAAAACTCTTCCTCCCAGGAAAAAGAAGCCAGTATCCAAGAAGAAGATGAAGAGAGAGAGGCTGAAGCAAGGAGTCTCTGCACCAGGAGAGTAGGACTTCGAGGTCTGATCTCCTCAGCTCCCCGTGTTGAACTGTTCGCAACTTCCTGTTTCTATCCAGTGAGTTACATCAGTTAAACTCTAACAGTTTAGTTAGACATTAACCGTAAATTTTGGTAGATCAGGAAGTAAATTACTCTTTCTGGCTTGTCAGGTACAGGTTTACTTGTCTTAAATTCTGTTGCATTTACTATTATTATCTGTTTCATTAGCATATTAATCTCCATGTTTTGGTTGTCATTTCGTTGCTTCCACATTCCATGGGGGAACAATTTACTGACTCGAAGCTATTACAATAAAGCCTTAGGGTATCTTAGTCCCCAGTGGTCCTGCCTCATAGGCTTTTTCAGTTTAGAGGGGCATGTATTGGTGTTCTAATTTCAGATTCCTTGCATGCCAAATCGGATTCAATTTGATCATTTGGAAATGAAAGCATTTCATCCAATTTAATCCTATAAACACAACATGCTCTTATGCAAGAACCAGAATGTCACTGCAAAAAGCCAAAAACTACACTGAAATGTGGAAACATTACACCAGCCTTTAGCATGCATCCATCAATATGCAATCTGGTTTCTGATGCTAGTTGAGACAATTTAGAATGAACTTTTTGAACATTATATTCACAGGCTTATATCATTCCTATCATAATGAAACATTGATCGATAACAATGCTATTTGTTATCCGGACTCAAGGTGAGTGCTGACTGTCGGAGGAGGATATATGTCTAATGCAAGTATACTTAATATATTAGAAAATCATTACCGTCTGGTGACTGGAGTAAGGTAAGCAGTGATTCGCGAAGGTCCTAGGTGCAGATCTTAGTCTGACCATTGCTTCCAAGTAAACCTCACAAATTAGATACACAAAGGATTTTCTGATAGGACATTCTTTTATCCCTCTTTTGAGAAACAAATGGTTATTTTACTCGGACGGAATCAGAAATCAAGATTAAGAGGCAAAGTATAAGTAACCATAAAAGTTAGGGATAAAGTTTGAATGAACTAAAAAATTGCGGGTCTAGATTGGTATATATCCTTATTAAGTAATTAATATTAATAATATTTTTTTACTTTTTAATACAAAATTGGGGGAGGCCACAGTCCCTTACCTATTCGGTAGTTGCGTCTTTGATGTACCATTTCACTGCTTGAATTTTAAATCACCTTGACAATTAATGAAAGAAAAATTCAATTTTTAAACTTAATTATTATTATTTTTAAAATGTGACTACTAAAAAGACATTTACAACAACCAAACACAATAGGTTTAATTAAATATATTCATTCAATTCAAGCATGCGGTTTAATGTCAATAGGTTTTGACGAGAAAAAAATGTAATTAGTCTTGACCAAAAAATAATTTTAAAAATAACATATAAATCATGATCGAATCACATACCGTCTTTCATAAAAATAATAAATTCTATTTAAGGAATTGTATTTTTTTTATATTTCCCTGTAGATTTTTTTTTGAAAAGTATGATTAGATTGATAAATCATACAAGAGGAGGGTATTGACAGAGACTTTATTGAAAATATTCATAAACTTAAATAGATGAAAAGGAGTGTTATATGTCAAGTCCCTTATGAGACGACCAACAACAAACCCAATTTAACAGCTCAAATTTCAGCCTACAACAGCTGAATATCCTAAACTCCACCATAAACATAACCCCACTAAAAACGTACCAGAAACATGATAGCTAAACGCAACAGTCGAATCGCACAAAAAGACTACCAGATCCACGGCAAGTAACAAATAGGAAAAATACACTTAAAATACAAACCAAGACTCAGAAATAAACAATTACCAAATCATGGACTTAAGACGCCCAGAGCCTTCCTTGGCCAAATTGTCTGCATCACCATTAAAAACTCACCAAATGCCAAGATCCTCCCAAGAATGAAACTATACACTCTCTAGACGGCAAAATCACCTAGGCTAAAGGTGACAGATCCCACCTTGGCCAATGCATCCGCTACAATGTTAGCGTCTCTCGGGGTAGCCTGAACCTTCCATGAATATATGCGACAAAGCTGATAGCAGAACATACAATCATAGCTAAAGCAAGATGGGGCATGATGGGATGCATTAATCCAAGAAACCACGAGACTGCTATCAGATTCTATCATGAGTCAACAGGATGGAGCATGGTGGGGCATGTTGAGCAAGCTTTATATATATATATTCTAAATCTAATTCTAACCCTTCTTATAGGGGAGGAGAAAGAGGACTTTAGGAAAATAAAGGGGAGTGTTCCTAATGATTCTAGAACCCATGACCTAAAAGAATATGAAGGAACAAAGAAGAACAACTTGATCAACCTGATTTGACTTGTTTCTGAAGTGGTTTTCTTTTCCATTGAGAATTGCTATTTGGTGTAGCGTAGTGAATGATATTATTACTAGTAAAAAGAAAACGGCATTAATGTGCTGAACAAGAAGCAAGTCACTGCAGCTAAGCTAAGACTTATTAGGTTTTGATTATTGCTGACAATGGGAACTCTGTAAATTAAAGCATCACCAAAACTGGCTGAGCAAGTGGTGAAAGAGGAGGCTGCAATCAACGAAAGTGAGCTGTCTCTGATGCAAGAAGTACGTCGAACGGTGCCCAGCACCAACGACCCTTCATTCCCAGTATGGACTTTCCGTATGTGGTTCTTGGGTCTTTTCTCTTGCACCCTTTTTTCCTTCTTGAACCAGTTTTTCTGCTACCTAACCGAGCCGCTTGTCATCACCCAAATCACTGTCCAAGTGGCGACTCTCCCCGTTGGATGGTTCATTCATGGCTTCGGCTCTTCCCACGACTAAGTTTCGTATACCAGGGTTTGGTTCAAGGGAGTTCTCGCTTAAACCTTGACCGTTCAACATGTTTTGATTACGATATTCACTAATGGTTCATTCATGGCTTCATATTGATACGACGTGCAAGTCTCGTTCATGCAGGAACTTGAATCTTCAAGTCAAATTCGTCAGCTATATGCATCATCATATACTATAGTACACCATTATCCCTGCAAGCAATAGCTTCAACTACAACACAATTTGCCTCATAACAACACCTCAGTTGGAAAGTCCCAGAGTTCCACAATCCTCTGTGAGTGTAAGTTGCAACTCGGTTGTTCCTTACGGAAGCATGGTGCAGTCCTCGACTTCTAATCCGTTGTGAGTGTAATTATGTAAGCTGCAACTCAGTCGTCGACCCCTAGGCAATTACATCCACCCTGAGGCACTTGCTGATAAGCTTCTTGCAATTTTTCGACCTAGTTTCCTTAGTCCTATTGCAATTATGAGGATTTGGAGTTTCTGTTTGTTCTATGTCATGGCTGAACTTTGGGGCAGGGTGGTTATTTCTATTCTATTCCCGTTTACCAATCATGTGTATTTACAGCAGGTCATTTGCGTGACTTTTCTTTTATTTTTTAGATACCAAGTCAGGCTTGGATTAATGTAAGTTAACTGCATAGGGATCAAAATCAAACGTACAGATAACTTAAATGATTATTACCACTAATTTTTTAAACCAATGACCAAAATTAAACGGATCTAAAACATAAGATATCACCCATGTAATTTACCCAAACTTGAAACAGGTGCCGTTGTTGGGCTGTAGCTTGAGTAGTTGACCCTAGCTATGTAACCAAACAAGATCGTAGCGCAAGATTCTGTAATCTTTGATCAGAATCTCTACAGATGTTGGGTTTGTAAAATCTGCTTTTCGAAAGACCAAAATCTTCCGTCTTTCCCCTTCCATCAGGAATTTTGGGCAATAATTTTCTCACTACACGTAAATTATGGGCAAATAATTTTCCTTACCTTGAAAATTTCAAGCATAAATCCTGAAGTAAATGAAGGAATTTTTTCTTCTCTTTAGCTGGATGGGGCAGCATTCAAACAAAATATATGGAATGTTTACTTGAATCAAGGAAGAGGAATAACACCAAATTTCTGGGTCCTCCAAAGTTTATAGATATACCCAAACGCAGGTTTCAGATCAGAAATTTAATGCCATCTAAACCAAATCTTCTTCCATACAGTCCCTTTATTGTTTCTTTCAAGAAATAGTCCCCAGGATTCTTTCCTTCGATTAGTATGTTCATCAACTTGTCATTTGCAATTCATCAAAATCCATTTTATTTTGTACACTAAATATATTTTTCTTCTTCTTTTTAGCTGTTGATGTAACAGAGTCATACAAGTAAAGAGAAAGTTACAGCTTCGTCCTAAAATGGCAAGAAATATTCAGAAAATTAATTAAAAAGGAAATGAAATAAAATGAATCACGTGAAACCCAACGTTATCTTCTTCCTGAAACTCATTGGAGAATGGAGTCTTGCAGCTGTTCTCGCCGGTTCTGATTTGCATCTTGTGAGAACTAGAGGCCCTACGTTTCCCATTTGCTCTGCTTTCTGTTCTACACTATTTTCAGTTTTCTCTTCAAATTCGTTGCAAAAATCTGGGTTTTCTTCCATTTGGAATCCGTTTTCACAAATGAATTCTCTCTGAATCGGCTTTCTCTTCTTCTTCTTTAGATACTCTGTTTTCTGCTCTGTTTCTTCACTTGTTCCATGGCTGGCTAAAGGTGACTCGCAAAACCTATAAGCCAAAGAAGAAGAGCTGTACAGAGCAGATCGACAACGTGCTAAAAGCGAAACATTTTTTGGCGGTGAAGAAGATGCAAAAACCTTAGCTTCACTTCCTTCTTCATTTCCTTGGATTTTCGATAAATCTTCTCTAGCGGTGGGCTTTCCACAAGAGCCGAAACAGATGCTTCCCCATTTTCCTTGAGGTCTAACAAGAGGCTTGACCTTGACTTTCCCGGAGAAATTATGCAAAACAGAGCCTCGGTGATCCATTTGCAACGGCTGTTGGGACGTGTAGGTGCTCCAGGTGGACCGGACTTTGAACCGGTTTGTTTAACACGAACCTGACCTACGCAAGTGACTTTAGGCGAAGAAGGCTCTTGGGTTTCAACGGCGGCCTTCTTTTTCCTGACGAACATTGGGCTGGAACGTGACCTTCCCCTGCTGCTCCTACTTGCACCCTTGCTTGTCAGAAACCGCATCAGTTGTGGCGGATACTTGTCGGCCCGACATGGACTCGATATTGGGTTCGACGACAGCATCATTTTTAAGGAAAAAGGAGTTTCTTGCTCTTTGAACATTCCAAAGACTGCTCCTTTCTTCTGTCTACCTTCGAGTGTCTCGTATGTTTCGTGGGGTATATATATGAAGCTTTTGAGTTTGAAAATTGTAAGATTTTGTACTATGGTTATTTCGTCTTTGGTTCTGGTGACCTCTGTTTTGAAAATCGGATCGGATTGATCGGTTCAATCGGGAATCATTGCTTAGTCTGGTTTAATCTAAATCGATTGAATCGCTATTAGTGAACCGGTCAGAATCACTGAAACGTTTAAACCGGACCGGTTGAAAACCGGAAAAAAACCGAGAAAATCGGGATTTTTGTTTTAAAAAAAATTAAACCAAACAACGTCGTTTGTTAAACGAGCCAAGTCGAACTCGAGTATTGCTGAGCTCGACTCGAACTTGAAAACTTTAAAAGTAAGCTCAACTCAACTCAAACTCACAAGCAAAAAATTATCAAGTTCAACTCAAACTCGAAATATAATATTGAAACTTGAACTCAAAAAGGCTTGAACTCAAAATAAAATTAGAAGCTCGATTGAAGCCTAAAATTCGAGTTTGATTGAAGTGAAAGAATAGTTCACTCAATGCTCACCAAAAGGCTCCATGATTTTGAATGACAAATTACCTCTATTATTTATAGAAGTTAGTTGTGATGCGCTTCTATGTTTCTTAGCAATGTGAGATTGTTTTGTTATCATATTTTTACTCTTTAGATTTTTGTTATGCTCTTCTATGTTTCTTAGCCATGTGAGATTATTTTTAAAAAAAATTAAACCAAACAATATCATTTTGTTATGATTTTTTAACTCCAAATTTATTTATTTTTTAATTATAGTTATATAATTATATTTATTATTTAATATGTTTTACCTTAAATATTATGTTGTAATTAATTTGAATCATTTTGTTTCACTTGATTTTATGGTTTTTAACTTATATATGTTATGACTTGTTTTGAATATGACTTGTGATATAAAAAATTATTTTTATTAAATATTTTTGATATTTTTATTTAATTTTAACCGTCGTTGTTCCGATCGGCCGAACCGGTTCAATCGGTTAAACCAATAAACTGATAGCATGACCGGTTCGCTAACTGGTTCGGTTCTATGCTGGTAAGAAAGGTATGCTGTCCACTGCTCTCTACTCAACTTGTTTCTTTTCTCTATCTACTTGGTTTTATGCGATATATGGATCATTATTTACCATCATAAATTTTAGGGTAAATTAATTATTTGGTCATTTATTTATTTTCGTAATTCTATTACGATCATCTAATTATTTTTTCTTTTTAAAGTTACATTTAACATTACGTTTATTTTTTGTTTTGATCGATCGTATTTAAATTTAATTGTTAATTGTATGAACCATATGACTTAAATAATAAAGAAATTATACTACTTACTGCAGTTATTTCGGAAGCTCCGTCATTTTCTCTTTGTTTAAGTGTGGCAATATCAAACTTTTTCTTTTCAAATTTTACATTTCTTGTCTCCAATGTGTTTGACTAATTGCAGAGACGGAATTACGATCAAATATTAATAGAGGTAATATATCTAATTTCAAAATAATATAAATTTATAAATATTTAATCTAAAAAATTAGAAGAGACAAAATCATGATTTTACCTTAATCTAAATTGATAAAAGACTAAAAATACTACTGAGACTGAAAATTTACCCACCCACTCTGTTCCTTACTGGAGTTTCCATCTGTTCTCCTTTTATGTTTATTTCTTAAAAAAAAATACAATAACCTTTCTTTCTCATTTTTATTTATTTTATTTTAGAAAAAAAACTATATTTGTGGTTTTATTTTTTCAACTTGTTTTTTAAATGTTAATAAATCATTAACAAATAATTAACTATTAATAAATTGTTTTAAATTAAAAATAAAATTAATTTGATAAAAAAAAATATTATAGATTTATTAAATTTTTTCGAATTATGATCGATTGAATATAGTGTATATGTTTTGAGGATTAAAATTGTTATATATTATAGAGTTTCCTATCAAACAACCCATACTTCAATATTCTCTCTACCCTTCGTCATCTCTACTTCTTCTGCATCAGCAACTTATCTTCTGACGAAACAAGGCGTGATAAGATTTGGTTAACATCTTTGTCGACCCGTCCGCAGTTTAGTGTGCTACAAGAACATAATTCACATGAAGGACTTTATTTGCACCTTTTCCTATACGAAATGCATGTCAAGCTTCACATACTTGGAGCGAGCATGAAAACGGCGTTGACACTCGTATTGTGCTCCATACAAGCTTCACCCATATCAGAAAGCAAAGACTTGACCCACACCACTTCGAACACATCATCAACTACACTCTGATACTTGGCTTCTATCGTCGATCGCGCCACAGATTTTTGTCGTTCAGAGAGCTCCAAGACACCAGGTTACAACCCAAGAACACACAGTACTCGGAGGCAGAACGCCGATCGTCCACATTACTTGCCTAGTTAGCATCCGCAAATGCAGTCACACAACAAAACTCGAACAAATTAGAATCAAATAAAATCATAATATTATAAATATTTATAATTAAATTTAAACAGAAATTCTAACAACTCGACTTGATTGGAAAAAAATTTAAATTAAATTTGAGTTATAAAATAGGAATCGTCAACTCAAAATTTTTCTAACCCGACACGACGGATCGAACATTCACTCCTATATAGAAGTATCACCATGTAAGTTGGCAGTCCTTGCAAATTTATCACCTCAATTTAGCCTGCTTTTGAATCTTCTAAAGAAGTATGTTTTGGTATCTCTGAATGGGACTAGTATTTACTTTATAGTGTGGTATGCAGGGATTTAAATAGCGTTTGCGGTCACGTTTTCGGTCGCATCACGTTTATCACAGTTGCGGATATAATGTATGCTATTGCGAATATCGCGATCGTGAATTTTTTCGAATGAACTAATTTTTTTAATAAAAAACCAGTTTTTTTAAAAAAAAAAATAACGGAATAATAGTGGAATAACAGTCCGATATTGCCGCGATTAGCCGCAATCCGTTAAATTACGGACGCGATCCGCCTCTATTGGTGTGATCTCGCTTCACACTGTTATTTTCCGCGATTGTAATTTCGGACACCACCATGACCGTAATATAACGGCTACGATACCACTATTAAGCCGCTATTTGAAACCACGGTGGTATGCTATATATCACGATCCATAGATTTTTTGGCAGTCAGGGATAGATGTAGTGTGGTATTCTATATAGAAGAGCAATCATTAGCTTCTTGATTCTACCCAAAATCACAAATATCAACTTTTTAAATTTGAATTTAAAAGACTTTTTTCAGCTACCAATAACAACCACTCAGGCATTAATGAAATAAAAACCTTAGAAATCAAATGACTATAGTTCCTCTTTGCTTCCATGTCTTTTTTCTTCTTGTTTGGACTTCTCCAATCTCATGAATGCTTGCTTTCTTTCTTGTCTTTTTTTTTTATTAGACTAATTGCCCTGTCCATTCATGACAGCGATTTCTATATTAGTAATGCTGCTGTGTACTTTTGGAGGACATAAGCGCTGCTGCCTTAGCCTGGCTGGTGAAAGTGGATACGAAAGGCGTTTCTTGGAGGACGCAATAGGTCCCTTCTCAGGTGTTCCATTGGCTTCTAGTCCCAAGGGACTTTGCAACCTTGTCTTAGCTCTTGCGGACTCGGTTGGTATCATGTAACTTGGAAGCGATGGAGAGCTTCCAAGGCTCTCATTCTCATGCACTAAGGAGCCTGCAATGCTGTGTCTGCAGTTTCTTTCTGACTGCAAACTGGCTATGCTTCTTGTGTCATCGTCTGGACCAACCACACTGTTCCTAGGGCTAGGTGACTTCAGCTTTCGGGCAGGAGTGGAAGTTTGGTTTGCCTTCTGGCCGGCCTTTGGGGATTGCTTATCGAAGTTGAGTTGGAAACGAGCATAACCTTTGCTGATTTCTCTTCCAAAGTTGGCATGTGCACTCTTTACGGATGGCTGGTCATTGTTCTGTCCCTTCTCTATTGTGACATGACCCTCCCATGGTCGTGCTGCAATCCATCGTCCCAACCAACTCCAGCCCCACGAGGGATTATTTGGATCCATGAATAATGGATTCATAGATCTTGAAGCATCCTTCCAGGTTTGCTGCAAAAGAAGTGCAAGTGTCAGACAACATAATGCTACTTCCTCCCTCATCACCAACCTATGGAGAACTTTTAAGTTGTTATTACGGTTCATTCAATCATGTCACTTGATAGTGTTGTTAGCTCTCTCACTTGCACATACAAGTACTTGAACATGCGATGCTCTTAGTCATTCCGACCACATATATAAAATTCGAGGAAGAGGTCACCTGATGTGTAAATGAATATGCCATGGCCCTCTCTCTTCTCATAGCTGCCTTGTGCTTGCTAACTAAGCTCGCCTCGATTTGTTCCTTCGACTGCAGGCTGTCATCCCAGTCTTCCCCCATCTGTTTAAACATTTCAAAATCTACTGTCATTGGTCATTAGGACTAAGCCATTGTGGTAAATCAACACAATCGAATAGTTCTCCACCAATGGAAAGTGCTATGGTCACTTTTCCAATGAGAAAATAAGAGGTCGAATGAAATATATAATCATTTAGGAACTGAGCTTGACTGCAGTGACAGAAAGCAGTAAAACATTTGCTGTATGCTGTGCTGTTATATAATACCTAAATCAAGTATCTTATATGTGTGTTATGAAGATAACTCTAACTATAGGATCCTGTATATCAGAGAGAGAGAGGGGATTCACCTGCAAGTTCACAATCTCTTTTTCATGTTTCTGCAAGAGTTGCCTCTGAAGAACCTGATTTTCTTCGGTCATCCTGATTCTCCTAATTCGAACCTGACACTGCACGCGGGAAAGTGCGTGCATGCACCGGAGGGTACTCGCTGCTTGCCTTTTGAACATAGGCCCTTCCATCAATGATTTCAGCCTGATCAGTCCTTTTA